ACACCAATACGGGCGAGGGTTACGCAAAAAAAAAATGGGCTCTTAAGATCCGCCTTGTTGAGAGCTTTCGATTGCCGTTTTCCCCGTTTTTCTACGACCATCGGTTCGGAAGTTAGACGGGGGGGGCAGAATCTGTCCCCCCTCCCCAGCAGGGCGCGTAGGTATGGCTGAATGGCACGGCGGGGCGCGGGTCAACCCTCGCCGGACCTATTGGTTTTCTACTTACGCGCCGGCCGAGGGGGTATGACCCACTCTCGCCGTTTCGCCCCTTGTGGAGCTATGCGTCGCGGAAAAGCCGAGCGTGTGCGCCGCTACGAGACGCAGAGATTGATATCCGATTTTAAGGTCTTAAGTCAACCGGTGACCTCTGAGGTCAGGTCAAGTGCCCCAAGGCACGGTTCCGTTTTTGGTGAATAACTTCGCAAAAAAAGCGGCCGCAGAGTCGCGATTTTGGCAGTATCGTGTTCGCCTCGCTTAGGCGCGTCGAATTATATACTTTTTGTTTGGATGAGGTCAACTTAGGGTGTTGACCTTGGGTCACGGTCAGGACAGCGCCCCCAGGTCACGAACTTGGTCGAAGGAGGTCGTATATCATTCGATTCGGCAGGTCTTCCTGAGTCTATTGGTGGCTTTCCCGACCCGCTAGCTCAATTTGATCGGGAGTTAGGTATTGACGAAAAACTAATATGACCCTAAATCCTAATGACGTCATAAATGACGTCGCGCAAGGTCAACATTGCAAAAGTGACGCATCGAACCTTACAAGGAGTGCATGAAATCACGATTCGTGCTTGAGATAGTTGGAGATCGTTTCCGGCGCCAGAATAGCAGTTTTCATTTTTCCCCATTGACTTATACCTAATGGTGAGGTCACGAAAATGACCTGACCTCATATGACCTTTAGAAAAAATCCGAGATATACAAGCTATGAGACTCTTAATGGATACTAGGTCCTGCAAGTCTCATTTCCCTGTGAAAGCTCCTCTGGCAGTGAGAGCGTTGTGAATTTGCGACATATGAAGACCGTGCAGAGGTTCACTTATGACATCATAAGTCAGTGACCTGACCTGACCCGAAAATGCGGTTGGTGTGAAAAGATCCGGCTTGAATCAAAGATCAGGTATGCCAAGTTTCAGCTCTCTATCGCCGGCGTGTTCGGAGCTATCGCGAAAAAAACTATGGGGGGGCGGCACCCCCCTCCCCCCCCTCTAGGCCGGCGAGGGTAAATGCTGTTATTGGATGTTGTGAGATGTTCAGGTCTTTAGGCTATTTAGTTAACTAAAGCGGCAGCGCACGAGGTCAGATCGTGTGTTCATCTCGCGACGAGCGCACGTTCACATCAGCGATAAGTGCCGCTGCCTCAGGGAGCAGCGCTCACCGCTTTTGGTGAGGAAGACAGTGTCGATTTGCTGACGTCAGTCGAAATTGTCCAGTCACGCACTGAAGAGAGCCAATGAAGGCTGCCCAGCTGTCATCTGCACAGTGTGTCACTCACAATTTGTCACACGGCATTGATTACAGCTTAGTGGTAAAATGTCGTGTCACCCGATCTCTGGCAGGCTCGATTGAAACGGATATTCGTCACAATAAAAGTAACTATTTCAACATAAATGGTGATCATCATGCAGTCACAGGGTGAACTTCACCTTACATATAAGCATGACCAGTCCCAGTCGAGATCCGTGTTGCCTATGCTCGGAATGGCGCGGCGGCGGGAAAACTGCTACCATTGATGTGTCTATAGGCGCACGGCCGGATTTAGGCTCACCGCCTGAATCCGATAGGAAAGCATGCGTCACAAGAAAAAACAATGAAACACAAGACGTCACCGCACGATGTCGAATAGCTTACAAGTAAGTCAATCGGTTGTCGTAACGAGGCACATGCAATACTTCATAACAATGTTGTACCTGGTAAAGTAGATCAAATTGATCCGCACTTGCTAGCTCTCACCGTCCGGCCGACATGGCGTAGTTGGAAGACCTATTTGGAAGTTTGCCTATAACAGCCTTAGCAGGAAGAGATTCGAGCTCTCGATGAACGTCAGCGACGCATGAATAACGACGTTCTTGGTGGTTGCCGACTGAGAAGAATGACGGTATGTCTTTACCTAACAATTCAGATGTCGGTTAGCCCACCAGGGCATTCGCTCACGGGTAAAGGATGCCGACGGCTCTGCCGATGTCGCCGGCAGAGTCCCGGCAGAGCGTCTGCCGCGCGAGAGCTCGCGGATGATGTCTGCTCAGTGCATCTGCATCGACTGATGTATACGTTGACCTCGAAAGGTCAAGGTCAAAGGTTGACCTCAGGTCACGTGACCTCGAGGTCATCATGTATATCATTCGATGCATCTTGACGAGCTGAACACAATGAGACCATCCGCGCGGCTGTATCTTGTTCCTGTACTGAGTTATTGGCAAAAAACCTTTGGTGACCTTTGATGACGTCACATGACCTTACAGCTGCCCAACAGCAAAACAGACCTCAAGGTAGTGAAGGTTGATCGTATATGAAGTCATGCATGGTATATGGGGCCATTCTGACCCGTTTTAGTGGTAAAAACAGGGAGTTGATTTTTCCCCCATTGACTTATTACGAGCGAGCGAGCGCAGCGAGCGAAGCGAAGTCTTTTCAATATAATGGAAAAATCTCAGTATGAGCGGCCCGGCCCGGCCCGGCCTGTAACGCTTTTGAGAGGCTTATATCTCAGCAACCGCTGGACCGATTGGCCTGCGGTCTTTTTTGCTGGGTAGCCCCATCCCTTCTACCCCGTTATTGACTACTTATGATACATCTCAGTGACGGCGTCGTGGCACGTGCCACGTGAGAAGTCAAGGGTGTACAAGCAGTTTTGCAGAAGTAATGATTTTGAGAGACCCATACATCAGCAGCGGCTTGAGCGATTGTCTTGCGGTAATTTTTATAGGGTAGGTGGCGTGCATCCCTTCTACCAAAGGTCGGATACTCGTGATCTTTGTGAGTGACCCCCACTGCACGTGCAAAATACAAAAAGAAGAGGTGCTAAATTTGCTCCCATTTCAGTAACTCGGTAATTACTGGGGTGATTTCGCGGAAACTTGGCATACAGGTAGGCAACCACCAGACAATGCATTCCAATGTGTTGCGGTTAGGGTGCTACTGCACGTGCGCACGTGCAGGGGGCGTTTCCAGATCTCGAGAACGGCTGAACCGATTGTGCTCAAATTTGGTACACGGTTGGGGACCGGTTAGTAGGGTACCGTGCAAAAGTCAGTTTGAACCCCGTTTGCACGTGCGCACGTGCAGAATGCCGCTTCCAGATCTCAGGAACGGCTGGGCCGATTGCGTTCAAATTTGGCACACCGCTAGCGACCGGTTAGAAGGGTGCTTTGCACAAGCCCGTTGGAAGTACCCTCTCGCCCTTCCGCACGTGCAGGGCTCACTATCTCGCTCGCTCGTTCTTCGCCCAAAAGGCGTTTTACTGGTAGCTACTAATGACCTAATAACATCCTGCGACTTTCAAAGACCTCCGACATCTACTGTAGCTCTGGCACGGTGACAAAGTTGCAAAAAAGTGACTTGAGGTTGGGTCATTCAAAGTGACCTGGTGACCTGACCTTAAAAGTTACGAGGTTAAAACTTGCACACCATGTGTAAAATTGATGAGGGAATAGTCGTACCAAATTTCGCGGCGCTACGCGACGCGGTGCTGGCACCTCACCTTTTGGTGTACCTAAATTATTTAAAAATCATAGGGTACAATTTCGGGTAATCGTGACGGACAGTTATTCAGCATTCAAGAAAATACATTGACGGCTCAGAATTGTACTCCGTGACCGCAGCGATATTACAAAAACTTTATCATATCTGGGTAATATCTCTGTTCTTTAGGGAGATCCTAGCCAAGATACCATACTAGCAACTAAAATACAGCTAAAAATACATAATTTTGCTATACGGGCAAACTTTTGGCATTCGCCCACCCCTTGAAAATTCGTCACCCGAGACCCTGCCGTTGTATTATTTCATTTATATACAAGATCAGTAAGTAAAGTAGATAAGCTTTGTGACGTCTTCCATCTTAGCTAGGAGATCTGGTCCGTTCCGCACACAGTGGCTACACCTTCACACATAGAAAAATATACGTAACAAGATCCGTGACCCTTTTTCCTTGTTACATTTTCACAATTAGGTACAGAGAGAATTCACACTTGCTATATCATGTCGCTCTATGGAGAGAAAAGTGTTGCTGAGAGAGCCTGAAGGAGCGGAGAAAAAGGGCCGTTTTTGCGCATATGGCGTCATTTATTCCGATCCGTCATCTCATGGCGAACGATAGTAAATCATCTTTTGAACTGGACCAGACAACGCTGGCCTGTCGAGGCCTCAGGGCTTGACTGATGCGTTTCGAAACTCGAGATATATCGCGCCCATAGGAGGGAACGAAAACTTAAAATTTACAAATACACCCTGTTCGTTAGGTATCATCTTGTTTTGCGTAACACACACATCACAAACAATTAAATAGGAAACACGTCCGAGTAAAATGAAGCTGCATTTATATCGGAAGACGCCTGGCCCTGGTCGTTTCCTACACGCTAACAACATAGTTAAGTTACTTCCGGGATACGCTCACTGCTTCCCCCGGTAGTGACGGACACACACCTACATATGCATGTCAGTGGACAGTCCCCATGCCACACCATCCTGTATTCATTCTATACGGTGAACTGATTGCCAGTCCCGCCCTTCCATGGTTCGCCGTTTGTCTGCTTCCATGCAGCGCCGCCGCCGCGCCGCCCGCCGGCGTCTCTGCCGACGGCCGGCGCAGCGCCGCGCGCCCAAGTTCAAGTCAGCGCCCGTGGCCCGGGGGTGGAGACGAACTTGGCACACCGACCAGTGAAAGTGGAGTATCGGGCGGCGACACGGCCGTCACGTGACCGGTGGGAGGCGCCGACCCGAGGGTCACGTGACGCGGGCCCGTAATTACGGAGGCTCCGTATAAATAGTATCTGAGGCGGGAGGGGAGCATCAGTGGTGCACAGCATCCGCCGTCGGACACAAACCGAGCGCCCTGCACGGCCGCCGACATGAGGGGATTTATCGTATTCAGCGGTGAGTCGACACTCGGACCGCCAACCACAGGGCTTAACACTTTACAGTGAAAACAGTATCTCGATAAGGTGCATTCGAATATAAAGACCGAAAACTTGGAAGGAACGATGCAAAATTTGAGTATTGGAACAAATTATAAGAAAAGAACCAAATATCGCTACCTGATTCATTTAATCGGCTACTGATTATGCATTCTGCTAAGCTCGTGCAACTAAGCTTGTTTCCATAAAAAGTTGCCTGCACACCTAAAGTGCATTGGTTATCTTACTCTACCCCGTAATTGCATAAAATACCTACCTACATTAGTGTTTCATTTGTAGTCCAAACCGTCATGCTACACGACCCCAAAAAGTTTTTTTGTTATTTGAGCGTTTTTGTGTTATTTTTGCCTCGTAGTTGTTTTTTCTGAATGTCTTATCGTCCGCACTTTGTCCCTGATACATCAATGCATCTGCAGTTAGATCAAGACGGTCCAACTGTAGGTAATGAGTCATCCCACAGCGAATCTCCAGGATCGCACCTCGGCGCAGCTTTGGTCGTCCTCAGAAGAGCTCATATGAACTGTTATTGGATTTCGGATCGTGTAAAGTGCAACTCTAGCCGTCCCTTAGTGGATCATTTTCGACCATCCCTCAGAGCAGCTCAGCTAGTCCCTCAGTGCAACTTTGGTTTTCCCTCATGGCAGCTCAGAATAACCTGCATCCCAGACCGTCATGCAGATGAGACCGCCCCTCAGCAACCCTCAGACCGTCCTAGTGTTGCAGCTCCTCCTGTCCAGTGTATTCGTGTGAACGCGGTGCCGCTGATCGCCGACTGTTTCCGCTGTCCACAGCTCTGGCTGTGTCACTGTCCCGCTGTCCCCCATGCCCGCTGTCCACAGCTCTGGCTGTGTCCCTGTCTCGCTAACAGCCGCCTGTTCCGCCTCATTCGCAGCGCTGGCCGCCCTAGCCACGGCTCAGAGCGGCTACAGCTACGGCGCCCCGCCCACCACGGCCAAGCCCGGCTACGACTACCAGGAGCCGAGCGACCCGTTCGGCGCCGGCAACAACCCCGGCGGCGCTGTGGTCAAGGTGAGGTCAAAGCCGCGACCCCGGCTGACCCGGCGACCCCGACCCGCCCACTTGTTGTGAAGACATGTCGAGGGCCGACCGGGGGTCATCTCGCTGAGAGTCGAAAACATGTCCCGTCGATGACGCAACTGCTCTGAATCTCTTCACGGAAACTTATTGCCCTATTATGTGTCATCTTTTTCGTGAATAAGATTCAAGTGCGACGACATTGAGCTGATTGGGGTATTATTTGGCAAAACTAGAGCTCCATGGAAGTTAGTTGGATGACAACCAAGAAGAGCTAGGAAAAGTGATCAAAAGTCCCCTGAGATGGCTGATCAGTCTTCGTAAATATTTGATCGTCTAACTTCTTTCTCGATTGATGTGATGGCATTTGGTTTTCTCTGGTTGACTGAATGTCACTTTCTTTGACTGAGATTATTTCAGGTATTGCGGCTTGCGTTTGCTGAAACCCTTCTAATCAGATGTTTTTTTCCAGAACCCATTCACTTTCACATGAGACCCCTACTATCATCAACGCCGGAAAATAGGAATGTTTCGTGTTCTCCCTTCCCACGGCTAGCCCAATCCGCTGAATTGAGCCGGGAATGCCTGGAAATATCGCGTCACCTGCCAATTTTGGACATTGACCAGCGATCAGCCCATCCAGATAGTGTAGGTATACTTTGTCATGCAATCATGGAGAGCTGTCAATCTTACATCATAGCTTACATATCCAGCCATGATGTGTTTAACCTATAAGGTGTATGCAGTGATAAACGTTCTCGTCTTAACCAAAATGGTATCCCTTCAAACTTATGGCCAGGGTGCCCATTTTAGTCACCGCTAAGGCGACGCCGTCCTCTCCGCTGCCTTCACGCCCCAGCGGTTCTCCCTTACCCCCTCCACCGCCCCCTGAGACCGCCGTCAGCGACTGTGACCTGTCTGACCTGTGGGTGTGTCTGTGACGCCCCAGCCGTCCGCTGAGGAGGACCACCACCACGGCTCGTCGGACCCGCTGCAGTGGCTGCGTGACGCCGTGCCCGGAGAGCCCGGAGTCGACTACCCGATCTACGCCACCATCCCGCCCACCGGCTTCACCTGCGACGGACGCATTGCCGGTCAGTGGGCGGATAGCCGGCTGATAGCCCTCACACAGGGCTTCAGCTCAGCAGTATTCACTGATAGACGTCAAAAGGTCTTACAATCAGAACGGCACCTCATCCACAATGGACTATAAATATATGAATCATAGTTGTATTTCTCTAAAACGTTATTTCATTAGTGCAAATAGTAAGTCGTCAGTCGTATGGCTGGCTCTATAAACTGCAGTGTGCTCCCCTTTCTGATGTCTGATGAAGTTCATACTGGTCTGTGACTGCCGTCACTGTGTTGACCGTCCCTCCGTCCGGCGGCAGGTTACTACGCCGATGTGGAGGCCGGCTGCCAGCCGTTCCACGTGTGCAGCCCCGTGCCCGGCGGCGAGGCCATGAAGCTCTCCTTCCTCTGCCCCAACGGCACCATCTTCAACCAGGAGGGCTTCGCGTGTCAGTGGTGGAACGAGGTAGACTGCGACAGTGCCGAGCAGTTCTACTCCAAGAACGAGGAGATCGGCGTGGTGCCCGACTCGGCCGCCAGCAACAACGTCGGCAGCGTGGTGAACGGGCCGGCCAGCGAGCAGAACCAGTACCAGCCCCCGCAGACCACTCCGCGGCCCCAGTACCAGCCCCCGCAGACCACCCCGCGGCCCCAGTACCAGCCCCCGCAGACCTCGCGCCCCCGCCCGCAGCCGCAGCCCAGCCGCCCCCGTCCCCAGCCCGTGCGCCCGCAGCCGCAGCCCAGCCGCCCTCGTCCCCAGCCCGTGCGTCCCCAGCCGCAGCCCAGCCGCCCTCGTCCTCAGCCCGCGCGTCCGCAGCCGCAGCCCAGCCGCCCCCGTCCCCAGCCCGTGCGCCCGGTGCCCAACCAGTACATCCCGCCGACAACCACCACGACCACGCTGCGCCCGCCGCCGGGTCTCTACAACCTGCCGCACAACTGAGCAGCCGAGGAGCAGCCGAGTGCCAGGCCGCTGAGGCCGCCCTATTTATCGGAGTGAGTGTGAGCGTGAGTGAGCGAGTTCCGTTTGCCAGTGGTGTTCATGGTGTGCGAGACTGAGCGGCGGAACGGCAGGAGCAGCCGTGTCTTCTGTCTCTGTCAGCGCGACCGCCCAAGGCGGAGCTGAAACTCAGCGAGTGATGCGTCTTTCTTCTTTTGTGTAGTGCTCGTTTACTATGGACGTCAAACCCCTTGAGGCCCCACTTTTTTGCGATAATTTTTAAATGCGTCAACTCTCGTTGACAATATTCTGGCAATGTGTGTTTTAGAACCTGCCGAAACTTTTATTACTAAGGTATTTTGACGCCAAACGATTATGAAAGGTACTTCTCATTCACTCGTAATGTTAAATTTCACGGCACGAATCTGCTGTTTGGGTAGAGGCTACGCGCTCATGGGGTGGAGCCACGCAATGACGTCAGCGCTAAGCTCCGCCCTACCCCTCCGGCGCTCCTTGCCCGGCGACCGGTCACTCGCGTCTCTCGCTCCATTCAGGCTTGATGGTGGGTGGTAGCTGGTAGCGGTAGCGGGCGCTGGTAGATGGCATTTAGAGCAGATGGCGCTGGTGGCGGGGCTCGAGTGTGGCCGAGCGCAAGCCTCTGCCCGGGCCTGAATTGACCTTAGCATTACGAGTGAATGAGAAGTACCTTCCATAATCGTTTGGCGTCAAAATACCTTAGTAATAAAAGTTTCGGCAGGTTCTGAAACATACATTGCCAGAATATTGTCAACGAATGTTGACGCATTTAAAAATTATCGCCAAAAAGTGGGGTCTCAAGGGGTTTGACGTTCATAGTAGGCTTGTCTAGTCATAAGCATCGAACGGTAGCGCTTATGGTTGGACTTGTCAGGGTTCAACGTCATGTGTGTGTCATTTCATAAACCAGGTCGGAACAAATACATGATATTTAGCATAATATAAAAACGCATTTAAAAACGAATGACGTTGAAGGACGACAGGACGACGACCAAGTGTATCGGTATGATACAGAGCGTGACCCGGGACCATGACTCGCAAGCCTGCACAAACACCCAACTTCGGTAGAGAGCTCAGAGTGCTGAGTGACAGCGCTGCCGACCTGCTATTGGGGGAGGCTGAAAGCCCCGTTTCTCAACAAGCGACGTGAAACAACAAAACAGCTGCAGAAAAGAGCAACAGCACACCAATTGTAACGGTCTATTTCAACACTACGCATCTGAACTGGCACACTATGTATAATATCGATCTGCATTGAAGCACTATCGTTCTTAATTGACGTGATGCAATGCTCCGTTTTGACACAGTATGTACAGTTTAACAGGGCACTGGACAGGCAAGAAGTGAGGAATTGTCTTACAATACTGTAGGAGCATATGTCGGTGGCACGTGGCGCGACACGGTCTAGCATAGCCTATAAGCAACGGCGTAAAATCTAAACCGATAGATACTAGTCGGGTACAGTCTAACAGGATACCAAACAATAGTGTGTGACACAGTCACACTAGCACGGCAGATGAGATGCGTTAGCGTGAACTCATCTCATGCCAGACTATAGTCTAGCACAGTCTAGCATGGCGATATGCGGTGAGGAGCAGTCTACGACAGCCAAGCATTGCGGTACAGTCTAACACGACAGCAAAGTATTGCGGTACAGTTTACCACTACAGCCAAGTAATGCGGCACAGTCTAACACGACAGTGAAGCATTGCGGCACAGTCTAACACGACAGCCAAGTATTGCGGCACAGCCTACCACTACAGCCAAGTAATGCGGTACAGTCTAACACCACAGCCAAATATTGCGGCACAGTCTACCATTACAGCCAAGTAATGCGGCACAGTCTAACACGACAGTGAAGTATTGCGGCACAGTCTAACACGACAGGCAAGTATTGCGGCACAGTCTACCACTACAGCCAAGTAATGCGGTACAGTCTACCACTACAGCCAAGTAATGCGGCACAGTCTAACACGACAGTGAAGTATTGCGGCACATTTTAACACGACGGGCAAGCATTGCGGCACAGACTAACTCCACAGTCTAACACGACAGGCAATCAGTGTGGCACAGTCTACCAGGACAGCAAAGTAATGCGACACAGTCAAACACGACAGGCAAGTAGCGCGGTACAGTCTAACAGGACAGGCAAGTAGTGCGGTACAGTCTAACAGGACAGGCAAGTAGTGCGGTGCAGTCTAACGCTGTAGGAAGGTAGTGCGGCACAGTCCAACAGGGCGCGCAAGTAGGGCGGCACAGTCAAAAAGTAGGTACTGTAGGCAGTGCGGCAGTCTGGACAGTAAGTAGTGCGGCACAGTCCAACACGTCAGGCAAGTAGTGCGGTACAGTCTAACGGGACAGGCAATAAAGCGGCACAAGCCAACACGACAGCCAAGTATTGCGGCACAGTCGAACACGGCATGAAAGTAATGCGGCACAGTCTAATAGGGCAGGCAAGCAGTACGGTGCAGTCTTACAGGACAGGCAAGTAGAGCAGCACAGTCTACAGTACTGTAGGCAGTGCGGCACAGTCTAACAGGCAAGTAGTGCGGTACAGTCTAACAGGACAGGCAATAAAGCGGCAATATCTAACAGGATAGTTAGATAACAGAAAGTGCGTGACAGTTAACAGGACAGAAAGGAGTACAGTCGTCAGTCTTACGGGACAGGCAAATGGTGCGGCACGGTCTAACACGACACACATTCCAAGCCAGCCTCGCATGGCCAAAGCTACGTCCAAAGTGATGGGTAAAAGGAAAGGAAAGCTTATTGTTGGTAGCTAAGTAGGTGCTTGAGTTGTGAGGGTGTGGCATATTACCTGGCTTTCGGTAATGCTCCGCTCTTCATAATAAGTTTCTGCTAAACATAGTCACATTTCCTTCTGTCCGTCTTATAGGAGTCACATTCTGCCAGCGCCCGAGCACTGAGCCCGGCCATGGTTATTGGTTGTAGAGCTGACTCACTCGCCACCAGCCAGAGCACAGCGCGGCTGTCCTTTCGTGTGATACGCCTCGTCTCGGGCATTGTTCGCCGCCACCAAACGCCGGCAGACAGGCGCGGCGCTGCCCGCCTCATAAACGCATTATCAGCCGGCGGTAAACAGGAGAAAAACTCGGCCGCGGCGAGCGCCGAGAGGGTGGGCCGGTGCACACGGCACGCCAGTGCAGCGGGCGGCGGCGGCAGCTGATCCAAACACGGGCGCGTCCCTCCAGCCGTGTCTGACCTGCCCAGGCTCCGAGCCCAGCTGCGCCTCCAGACCACCCGACCAGAGCATCACCGCGCGCTGAATTACCTACCGCAGACCGCTGAAAGCGCTGGGGCAGAGTTCACACGTCAGACCAGATCTCTGACGCTTTACACGGGCACGCATGATAATACACTGAATCATGCATTATGGAGCGAAGCTCGAGGTCCCTGTGTTCGAGTGTTATTTGTGATTTCACGGCCGGAGGTGCACTAGTGCCGCCACGGCGGGGTCGAGGCCAGGGTACGCAGCCGAAGGCCGCTCGTCGCTCCCTCCCCGGTCCGTCTTCGTGTTTGGGTCCTTGTCGCTTTACGCATGGAGGCTGGTGCTGATGTTCTGAAGTCAAATCGTGCATATATGAATTGTGATATGGATCGGAGGAGCTTCATGTTAATGCCAAGTTATTCTTATCTTCTTTTTTGGTTTTACAAGTGAAAATTATCCAAACAAACAATAGTCCGTGACGGTAATATGACAACGTGTGTTTACCGTCCTATTACCGCGCCCTGGACCACACATTACCATGACGTAACTGTGGGGCTGGCCGCGTGCCACTGGTGCCCGCCGTGTGTCTGTGTCTGTGGGTGGCTGGTCACACCGGTGCCAGGTGTGTGTCGCTGCCCATGGATTGCCGACCGCGCCCGAGTCGTGAGTGCAGCGCTCTCGGCTCGGTTTCCACACCGTCATTAGGCCGGTGGACGGGCGCTGGTGAGCGCTGTGACAGGCGACCGAGCTGTCCGCGTGACGGCCGCCCCCCGCCGCGCGCCGCTCTGTGCCCGGTCAGCCGGCGTGACCGTGCGGCGCGGCCGAGCCTGGCAGACCACCCAGCCGCCCCCGGCCCTCCCATCCTACCGCACCGACAAGACGCGTCACCGCCCCGCGCACACTAATTAAGCCGCCCAGCTATGGAAATTCATAGCTTTTGGAGTCGGACAACGCATCATCAGCCTGCGAAGGTCGCCGGAGCGGCTAACTAGGCCAGCCGGCGGGCGGCGGGCTGCTCTCCCGCCGCCGGGAGGCTGACTTCCTGTCGGACAGCGGTGCCGGCTGATGGAGCGACCCGGGAGTCGGTGACAGTCGGCCGATTACCCGGCGCTGGCTGCCGTCGGGGTCAGGGGTCAGAGCCGAGTCGAGTCGGCGGCCGTCGGCACCACCGCCGGCGGGACGCCCGCCCGGAACAGGACGGCAGAGCGAGCCGGCGGGCGATCCGACGGCTTGCGACACACGCGGAACGCACACCAAACCGCACCGTGACCATCGCGTGCTGAGCGGCGGCGGACAGCAGCGTCATCCGCGCCGTCATCAACCCGCGGCTGGCTGTCGACACTCTCAGCACGAGCTCAGCTCGTCAGCGCCGCCCGTTCTCTTTGTTTTTGTTTTTGTTGACACGTAGTAGTTGTGGTCACGATATCTCGTCTCACAGACCGCAGGGCGCAGACGACGCACTCGGCTTCTTGTCTGGATATCTGAACAGGACGACTCGATGGGTAAACGCATAGATATATGAGATACGATAGATATATACCATTATCGGACGACAATGCACACTGAATATCATGCTGAATCAGTCACAGAGAATAGGCGCAGGTCAAACCCGGTGTGATGAGTTGCTGCGAGGCTGAGTTCATCTTCAAGCTGTTGTGACAACGAACACGCAATAAAACACATCGTACTGAAAATATGTATATAAAAATATATCTCTTCGTTTTATACGCGATTGTTC